TGCCGGTGGACCTGGAGCTTGTAAGACACTCCCCGGTATTCTACCGAACATTATGAATGACGACCCCAGTAATCTACGGGTTTATCCTCGTCTTTATCCTCCAATGCTTTGTGGGTGCCTCCTTGGCTGAATTTGTGTCTGCATACCCGGTCGAAGGTGGGATGTACCATTGGATTGCTGCCATTGCCCCGAAACGGTACAACAGCATTCTGAGCTTCGCGACGGGTTGGAGCACGGTGTTCGGATGTGAGCTTGGGTGCGATCATTGATCGGGAAGGAAGTCTGACGGGGACAGGGATATTCACAACCGCATCTACCAATTTGATCTACGCGACCAACTTCATGGCCTTGATTGCGCTGTACCATACGGATCTCGTGATTCAGCCATGGATGACATTCGTTGCGTACCAGGGCTTCAACATTTTGACGGGCGGGGTAGTCATGTTTGGGAATCGTTATATTCCACTTATTAACAAGTTTTCCTGTGAGTTGATACTTCCTCGTTCTATAAACCTGCCATGCTCACAGTCAAGCTAGTATGCTATCTCCAACTAGCCTGGTTCGTCATCATGGTCACCGTTGCTGCCGCAGCTCCCAAGCACAACGACAGCAAATTCGTTTTCAAAACGTGGATAAACAACACCGGCTGGGAAAACAATGTAATTTGCTTCATCACAGGGCTAGTGAACCCGCTATACTCTCTTGGTGGTCTGGATGGCATAACGGTCTGTTCCTTTTCCCGAATACGTCTAGGCTCGTTCTGACCGAGATTGCAGCACATCACAGAGGAAATGCCGAACGTAAGCAGCATCGCTCTAGTTCGCATCCAGCCACTGACTTGAGTCGCCCAACAGCCTGGACGAAACGCTCCTTTAGCCCTCGGTGAGCTCTTTCCTCTCCTTGCAGCCCCATCACAATGCAACTAATGAGTCGAACAGCCTGCACGCTCGGCATCGCCTTCGTGACCGGACTTACTTACCTGCTCAGTCTCATGTACTCCGTCCAAGACTACTCCAGCCTCGCATCAACCCACACGGGTCTTCCCCTGGCAGAGATCTTCCGCCAAGCGACTCAGACCCGCGGCGGTGCCTTTGCCTTGACCTTCATGCTGTGGGTGGCTCTAGGCCCATGCATGATCGGCTCTCAGCTAAGTATGTCCATGCGCCACCTCCACCCAGCTTTCTCTGCAGTCAAAAAAAACCAACATCTCACGCTGTATCTAGGTACCGGCCGAGTCTTCTGGGCTTTCGCTCGAGACGGCGGCCTCCCGCTGTCGAGGATGTAAGCAGCTTCCCAATTCTAGTCATTCATACTACGAAAACCACCTAACAGGCAATTCTAGCTGGGCAAAAGTCAACCCCCGCTTCGAAACCCCGTTCAACGCCCAGCTATGCGTGGGCGTCATCACGGCCCTGCTGGGCTGTATCTATCTCGGCTCCAGCACCGCCTTCAACGCCATGATGAGCTCGGCAGTGTCAGTGCAGACTCCCTTTTTCCTTGTGAGAGAGAGACAAACGTGCAAACGCGACGTGCTGATTCGTGTGAGATGCAGGACAATTAACAATCTGGCCTACCTCGTCCCCATCCTCACCAACGTCCTTGTGGGCCGCCGGACGATGCACCGCGGTCCGTTTTACCTGAGTCATGTGCCCGGTATGGCTGTGAACATTATTACGGTTGCATGGCTGCTGTTTGCCATTGTGTTTTTCTCGTTCCCGTATTATATGCCTGTCACCGGTGAGTCCAACCCTGAGGAGAAGATAGTGGCGCGGGAAAAGCTGACAGGCTGGACAGCCTCAAACATGAATTACACCTGTGCTTGCGTTGGTGGATTCCTGCTTATCGAGTTGCTTTGGTGGTTTGTTGCCGGGAAGGAGTACTCGAAGAATATGCAAAAGGCTCGCGAGGAGGAGCAGAATGCCGCTCGTGCTATGATGGTTACTACTCACGAGGGAAAGGAGTAGGGTTTTAAGATCTTGACCTACGACATATAGTAATAATATAGGCTTTTTCATTGAGTATTATGCTAACTGTGTATCGGTAGCCGATCCAGTGCAGTTTTACAATGACGTCGTATCTTCATGTAGTCATTGCTCATGTATTTCAAGCTGGAGGACTTTTACCACAAAATGCCTCTCAAAGTTGACTAATAGACAAGTCGTCATGATTTCGATATAAGGTAATCGATCGAGTGGAAATGGTATTAGCACATCCGACCAAAGAGAAACTCCTTGACGATGGGCGAGCCCGAGAATTCGGGGTTGAGTAGGACGCAGCTAGGTATATCATGTTAAATCCAGATGGGGGATTGTCCATAGGACGGCAAACTTACTTCAAGAAGTATTCCAGGCCGACTCGTCGGGATTCTAGAAATGAAGGGCGAAACTTATCTGGGGATGATCGTTAACTGAGAGTCGATTTTGTCCAGAGAGAAAAACATACAGAGTACACTTTTAGGAGGCAGTGCTGGTAAAGCGTTCATCGCATGTGGAAACGAGGCTTGCAATTGCCGTCGTAGGTCATCAAATTCGGAATATCTGTGCATCGTGAGCAAGATGAACTGTTCGGGTCCGATAGGATGATATGATCGGAACGTACCTCATGCGAACAGTGATGGGACCGCCCTACGGCTATGTTAGCATCAGATCAATATCGATTGTAGGTCTTGAACGCGGGAGAAAACATACATCAAGGGTCTGTATTCTGCAATTCCAAACAACATACGATCCTACTCCAGTCTTCCCTCGGACAACCGCATAGTCATCGACGGTGACACTCTTGGCCCAGAGACCCCGGCTAGTTTCCGAGTTGGGATCCTCAGAGTGATCCTCTAATGTGATGGCCGGCTGATCCAGAGAGATCTGAGATGTGCGGGATGCATTCCGGTGGTGGCTCCAGTATGGCGGAATCACACCGGAGACGGGACGATCACTAGACGAGGTATGACTGGCTTGCGGGAGGACAGAGCCATTGCTCACGCTAACGCCGTCGGATAGCGCAGCAGAGACAATCGTATCTGTATTGACTGCGGGGGAGGATGTGGTGGTGGAAAACTGGGGAGGGGAGGATAACGGCTGCGGCCGAGGCACCGAACCGGTCTCCTCATTCGCTGGCTCCATCCATTTAACTATCTAGGGGGGGGAATTGGAAGTGCTGGCACAGACGGTAACCAGACAAGGAGAGTGACAATCAAATTTTGGTCCTCTGTAATATTTGACTAAAACAAGTAAGTAAAACGGAATGAAATGCAACCTAAAATGAGGGGAGCAAACGGTGGAAGCAAGGGTACGGGGAGGCACTGATATTGAACACTAACGGGGTCACTAGTGAAGCTTGCCGGGCGGTTGGTCTGTGTCTTGCTCAGTGGATGTAGTAGATATGCAGCGAGAGTCTGAGAGGCGTCGAGAGGAAAGTAAAAATAGAAAAGAAATCAGATCAGATGCAAGGCTACTTCAGAAAATGATGTCCATGAGAACTTGATGACGAGTCTGAGACATAACCAATGTCCTTTGACCATCGATGTCCTTGCATTTCTTGATTCTTGGATCGATCTCCTGGTCTTGATGTCCTCAGGCCAGATAATGGCCAGATCACGGGACTTCCAAGAATACCGCAAATTGGAGAAGGTGGTCATGAGTCAGCGTGTTTCCTTATTCGTACTAGTCACTTCATTTTCTTTTGGTTCTTCATCGCCCTCGGAATGCTGCAGCAGCTGTCCTCAGTTATTGTTGATCAAACTTTATCACGAGAAATCATCTTCTGTCCTCCGGTCCAACTTATGCCTGACTATCTGTTCAAAGAGTATCCTCCTTTGAGGATCTCGGACAACATTAGCCGTTCTTTTCAAGTCCCCTTCATCCTCGTTCTATTAGCGACCAGTACCATCCATCTAGTGTAAACACTAGAAGAAGCCAAGAGTGGTTCCGTCCAAGCAGATTTCTTGTTTGGGTAAAGTCAATTTCTCCATGTGAGACATCTGGACAACTCTCACAGCAGTTATCCGTCAATAATATTGATCGGCTCTCTTCTTTTCCAAAACATCCCAACACCATGTTTCGGCTCCAGCGTCAGGTGCGGAGAAGACACAATGATAAGGATTTGGATCATTGAAGTACGAATTGTAGTTTGTAAACTTGGGACAACCCACGTTCGATAGGAAGCTTGTGGATTCCCAGCACCGACCGATAGGGATTCTGGGCTCGGGTCGCAGACCCTTGTCTTCATTATTGAGGATTCCCCGGATTGACTTTTTTTTTTTTTTTTTCTTTTTCCTCCTTCGAGAACAGTAGCCCCTTAACACATCAAACTCCCTTTATTTCTGGCCACCAGCTGATCTGGGCCGTAGTCTAGATTGCTTTTGGAGTCATTCTACCTTACAAACGAGACAATTCCATGCTAACCACCCGACTTTCTCTTCCAAGATTGCTGCAAACCAAGGAAGGCTGGATGGTCCGATACCACACTTGGCAGGTGACTAGATACGGAGCATCGTACTACACTACTCCGTACTACATACTCGGATAGCTCGCCATCAGTTTCCAGTGACAGATAGACTATCTAGTCTCAAATATTGTGTAGCGCTAGTCCTTTACTAGTCTACTGCTGCAGTAGTACCACGGACTACGGACTGGCTTGTTTAAAAGCTCCTGTGTCGGCATATTGAGAAGTCCATCCGGAGCTTCTCCTCACTGTCCACTTGTTTGCTTCTCCACTTGTACGCTTGGTTCGGTGGTTCCCAGGTCAATTCCAAAAGCCCATCTTCTTCTTCCACTTTCTATTCAGGGCTTCCGTTATCAGTAGTCGACTGTGTCATAAGGGCAAAGGGCGTTGTTCGTGACCTTTGGTTCTTCCGGAAATTTCTCTTCTCTCTCCCTCATACTCATTTGAGACCTTGACTCTCAGACTATCCTTACACACGCTCCCAATAGAGCTTAGGAGCTTCAAATCTCGCAATTGTCACGCCTTCTTCGTTCAATCGTCGACACACTATCATAGGCAATATGATTTTCTCTCGTGCTCTGATTGTGGCCGCCTCGATGGTCGGACTGGTCAGCAGCCAAACTTGGACTGCCGTCAACATCAGTGCCATCGACCCCGCACTACGAAGTAGGTCTCAAATACATTAGATCTTCCCACTTGAGCTCTGTCTGACTACTTCGACCCTGCCAGGCAAATGGTGCCTCGATCAGACTTCGTCCTGTCCCCTCCTCTGCCTTCAAATCAATGCCACTAGCGATCCAACACAGAACGACTGCGACTCTGTAAGTCAAAATCCGATACCTCCGCCCACCTAGAATGATTCGCTGACAGACTTCCTCGATCTTCGGATAGGATTCTCTCTCTTACGAATGTGTTTGCTCCAACGGCATCTCTCCAAACTCTTCCGAATACTCTCAGACCATTCCCTACTACCTCTGCTCCCAGGCCAACAACGAGTGTGTTGATCGATGCGACAGCTCCAACTCAGCCTGTCAGTCTGCTTGTCGCTCTGATCACCCTTGTGGAGCTCAGAATCCTACGCGCCACAATGTCACTACGACCGCCAGTGCCACATCGAACCCTACCAACAATGCTGCTACGAGCACGACTCTGGCCGCATTCACAGGGGAGGCCACGAACAAGAACAAGAACGCGGCAGTCAGGGCCTCGTCCGTTGACATAGGCCATGTGTATGGTCTGTGTGTTGTGGTGGGTGGCTTCATTGCTGGATTCGCAGTGTTGCTGTAAACACCTTGCGCTGGACCCCCACTAGACTGTGGGCTGTAGATTGATACAGCTCGGGATAATTTTCTGGATTGTAATTGCTTCTTGTCGATGTTATCCTAAGACACTGTCAGCGTCATTTCATGTCTCTGTTTCTGTTTTCCTTGCATATAGCATGGAGTCCCGCTATCGTCATTCTCCGCTTATTCTATTCAAGACTTTGCGGACGCCTTGTTCTGTTCTGTGACATGTTGATCAACTTTCACGACCTATGCCTATCTGAATAATCATAATCATGGTGCTTCCTCTGGATTTGTTGCAGATACGTCTTCTTAATGACTAAGAGTATGACTGGTTGTAGGGGCATTAGCTATCAAACAGCGACGGATCCATGAGATGAGCATTTACTCCAGCTGATGTGGAAGGTACGTCCGTCTTGCCTTACAACACCTTGAACCGGCTCGATCGACATGCATGTCAGTGAAGAAACGAACAGTGACGGTCAAGATATGGACACTGGGAGATATAAGCTACCTGGGTACTGGTTCATAGTCAGTGCTGGGGCTGGCTGTTCATCTCAGATTTGGCTGGTACCCTCTTTCAAGACTCCCCTGTTTGATGTGTCGTTCCTGCTCTGTCTAGTCTTTCTACCCCGTTGCTTCCTCCGGGAGACTCTTTCCTGTGCCGTCTCGCTGCCCGTCACGTTCATCTCAGCAGTAATCTCTCGGTTGGATTCAGTTCTGCCTGGAAGAGCATGTGTACCCGCAATCAAGCCATCTCAGCGACCTACTTCTTTCTTTCAACACCAGATCATCCTTTCTCTTGAACTATCATCGCCACATACCTAGACGAGGTCGTAATTACAGAATGCCTAGGGTATGCATGAGCCAGCACCTCTCGAAGGGTATTTGAATAGGCTCAACGGTGAAGTGTTCGCTGATGAGCAGCAGGGTCCGTTCTGTCAACTCTGCTTGCAGAGAGGCCATCCCCTGGTCAGATGCCCTCTAAGAGAGGGTCTGATGTTCCTCGTATGTGCCCTGGCGATTGACCTCATCATCATTATACTGTAGACTGACGTTTGATGCAGGGTCATGTGTCGATGATGCTGCAACTTCCCAACGAAACGGAGAGAATCTCGACGCCATGGGAAAACACAAACAATAGACCGGATTGGCGCCGCCGGCGAAGATGGTTGAACGCCAGCCGTCGCAGGAGAGAGCGAATTACTAGAAGGAGAGAGAATACGGTAGATCTGAACTTACAACTATACATCGAAGTAGGACTGATATACGCTAGTACAATCATGCCAGCCGTGGCAACTATACAGTTGTCCAGTCTATGCCACCTCCGCCTCCCCCACCAAATACACGGTAAGCACCTCATTTCGCATGCCTACGGATCTATAGATGACAAGGCAAAAAGTGCAATCAGTATGGCGGGAAACGCATCCGTCATAACGGTTGGGTATGTATCATATTTCAACAGACGTGCCAGGCTCAATGTTGACAGTTATCCTAGCTCATCCTCATCCTCAATCCTATATTCTACCTAGTGAGGGAAGACCCCGGTAGGATCGTCATCAATGCTTACTTTCTCCACAGCTCTTCAACAAGCGACTCAACCATTGCAGACGAAAACCAGTGAGTATATATCAAGTAGTCCTGTTCAATTGCGTAAGCCTGAAGCTCACTGCGTAACAGCGCAAACCCAAGGTTGGCTTGACGCTTTGTTCCTATGCTTATTGCATAAACTGATATTGAAGTTCATAGCGGCGATCACTCCTTCAGGGCTGAGCCGGCTGGGTGTTCTCAGGCGGCATCAGACGGTCTTCCCCTGAGACTCAGTAACGAAACTAGTCTGCCTGCAAACTCGAACAACGAGGAGCTAGTCAACGACAACATCTTGGCTGAAATTGCCTCCGTGGACCACCCGGGGAGAGAATATGTTGCACACTGGGATTCGACAGCGCAGGTTGATACCGTGATGACAGGGGCAGTAGGAGCTGTAGTCGAGGATCATGGTGACGGGGTCTATGACATTATCTGATGAACCTCGTGAGCACTTGCTTTCCTATACTTTCGCTGGAGATGGTCTGATTGCCGTTCAATGGTACAAAGAGACAGAATTATTGTTTTGTCGGAAGAGAATGGAGGCGGGCGTAGGCGGTGAAGTTGGCGGTCAATCCCCGACGACGATGCCTTGGAGATTAGAATGCCAAATAATGCCGGTGATGATGACTTCGATACTCCATCCTTAGTGCCTCTAGAGTTACAATCTCATATCTACTACACGTTGAGAGCCATCGTCTATAGAATGAAATTGTGGATTCAAAAGTACTTGTCAAAAAATCATTCATACTGATTACTTCCGGTACTTTACTACTTTCACTAGCTCTCCGCCCATTGTCCCAGTACACTGTTCTCCGCATCGCCTATCAAGGATCACTGAGATTAGCTTTGGGAATTCTACATTTTGCTTCTTTCCTACATATCAGAACCCCACTTGAAGATTCTCGCTATATTATTGTTTCCAAATTAAACCTGACCCAACAGACCTACCGTGCCGTCGACGCAGGCGTTGCACGTGCACCACGACGACGCCATGGACTCAACACTCCCAGATGCTTTTGATTCATCTCAACCTGGTTTATACGCAGGACAGGCCTCTAGTGCGGGGATGGTTGATCCAGAGGGTTCAAATGGGAACATGATAGCATCAGCGCCTTTTGTAAAGGTTGATGGTGAGTTGTCCCCAGCTATACGAGCGGGGAGATTAACTGTCAGTGAGGGAAATAGCTAATGTGCATTGAAGATCCACCGAAGTTTGAACTTGAGTCATACATTGCGAACTACAACGGTCAGTAGGAAGACATGGTATGCGCACAAAGCTCTGAGGGCCACAACTAATTGATGCTCGCACAACAGGACGGACCAAATTCAATCGCTTGTACCTCATAGGCACTTGCTCCACGTATCTCTCCACGGAAGCGCTCAAGGCCGCGGTTGCTGAAGCGAAGTCAGGAAAGGATGTCGTCAGGTACCAACAGGCTGTCCGTGCACTGGCCGAAGTCTCTCCGAATGAACCTGAAGCGATCGAGGACACGAAATGGGTGGACCATATGCAGAGAGTTGTGAAGTCTGAGACGGACCGGTTAGAGCACGAGCTGAGGGGCTATAAGAACAATCTGATCAAGGAGAGCATACGGGTGAGTGGAATATTGCTGGAATCAGCAGCGATGCTGACTGACATGTTCGCAGATGGGCAACGAAGATCTCGGACTACACTACCATCAGATCGGCAACCTGGTGGCCGCTTCCAAGGCCTACTCCCGCATGAGGGACTACTGCACAACACCCAGCCACATCGCGTCTATGTTGTTGAAGATTATCAATGTGGCAATCGAGCGGGGAGACTGGTTGAGCGTACAATCCAATGTGCACCGGCTGCGCAACCTCCAGTCGAAACCGGAGGAGCAGGCGAAGAATCAGCCTAAGATGTCAGCCGCCTTGGGTTTGTCCCAGCTGCACTCCGGATCGTACTTGGATGCTGCGAACAGTTTCTTGACCACTGATCCATCGCTTGGGGATTCGTACAACGAAGTCGTGACATCGAATGACGTGGCGGTCTATGGTGGGCTCTGTGCTCTGGCGTCCATGGATCGTAACGAGCTCCAGCGCCGCGTACTTGACAACAACTCGTTCCGCAATTTCCTCGAACTAGAACCGCATATTCGCAGAGCGATCTCCTTCTTCTGCAATTCGAAGTTTCGACCCTGTCTGGAGATTCTTGAGTCCTACAAAGCCGATTATCTACTTGACATCCACCTTCAACGTCATGTCAGCACCCTTTTCACCCGTATCCGCACCAAGGCTATCCAGCAATACCTCGTTCCTTTTAGCCGCGTGACGCTCGATTCCATGTTGAAAATCTTTGCTCCGGGGGTCGCTGGCGGCCAAGCGCATCCGACCGACTTCAACTCCCCGTTCGTGCAAGAGTTGATCAGCCTGATCCAGGATGGGACGCTGGATGCTCGGATTGACTTGGAGAAAGGCGTGCTTGTGTCCAAGCAGACTGATCTACGGACAGACGTGCAGCGAGCAGCATTGGAGAGCCTTGTCAACTTCAGAAAAGAGGCACATCTCCGGCTGTTGCGGACTAACATCCTTCGTGCGGGGCTAGAGGTGCGGGCACCCGGAGACGAGAGAAAGCTCAGGCCAGAGGATCGAGGCGTTGGGAAGGGATTGGCTGGGCTAGGGGGCAAGTACTCTCGGTGATGACCTTCTACGAGACGTTCATATCAGTTCGGAGTCGGAGAAAGAAGACCGTATTTTATGGTTTATGAATTGAACATCCTTCTCTGCAATGTTCTGTGCATATGACCTAAACCGTTTCATTAGGCCTATGACAGAATAATTAATTTCACATCGCCTAAAGGCAAAACTAGAGAGGTATTCGAATATATCAGGTGTGAGGGAAGCTGATGAAGTTATAACGTCATAGCCCTGTTGCATCATTGGCAAGACATCACACCACCAGGTGTAATACCAATATAGATGATCTCAAGCTTACAGTACGCAAAGGATCTGGATTCTCAGCTTCAAACAATTGTCATCCATTTGTTGTGCTCATGGCGCTCGTCGACCAAGCCGCTACATTTCTTTATCAATATGTCTACTCATGGCTGCACACCACCCCCAGTAAAAACCTCGACGCATTAAAACTCGGCGTCATCTCAACCGCCCAAATCAACCCTGCAGCCAGTCAGTTTACTTTCTCTCCTTCATAACCCCACGCCGAAAATACTGACCGAACTCTCTAGTAATCCACCCCGCCGAATCCCACCCATCTGTCATCCTCCACGGCATCGCCTCGCGCGATCTCTCGACAGCCCAAAAGCACCAGAGAAAGTACCGTTTCGCCAAAGCCTACGGCTCGTACCAGGATCTTCTAGACGATCCGGACGTCGATATCGTGTACATTTCCACGCCGAACGCGCTGCACTACGAGTGGGCGGCGAAAGCGCTCAAGGCCGGGAAGCATGTGCTCTGCGAGAAACCGTTTACGTCTAATGCGGACGAGGCGAAGAGGTTGGTTGAGCTGGGGAGGGAGAAGGGGCTGATTGTTGAGGAGGCTGTAAGCTTTCCCTCTTTTCCCACTGTCTTTGGAATCCGGGACAGGCCAGGGTTGACAGGACGTAGTTCCATTGGCAGTTCCATCCGGCGGCGCATGCATGGCGCCAGATCCTGGATTCGAGGGAATACGGGAAGATAATTTCTACAAGGGCAGCGATGACGGCTAGTCCTGGTGTGCCCCGGGGCGATATCCGGTGGAAGTTTGACCTGGCGGGTGAGTTTAGATTTTTTTTTTTTTTTTTTTTTTTTTTTTTTTTTTTTTTTTTTTTTTGATATCCCCTGGTTGACCCAGGCAAGTGGTTGACGAGGCATAGGCGGCTCGGCAATGGATATGACCTATGCGCTGTCGTTCACGCGCTTTGCGCTGCATGCGCGGCTACCGCAGGAGATCATCTCCGTCAGCGTGCGGCCGTCCAAGGATGATCCGCGCGTTGACGAGGCCATGTACGCGCACATGGACTTCCAAGGCCCGGACGGCAACCCCGTGCACAGCCGCGTGTACACGGACATGGCGCGCGAGAAAGTCGCGGGCGTGATTCCGCGGGTCTGGGAGTTGCCGTCCATCGAGGTCGAGACGGAGAAGGCAATCATCTACTTCTATAACGCCATGATGCCGCATCTGTACCACTACATCTCCGTCATGGACAAGACGACGGGCAAGGTGAGCTATAAGAAGCAGTACTCTGGTGGTCCCTTGTGGGGCAACGTGGTGACGAGTACGGGGGAGAAGGGCGGGAATCCGCACTGGAGTACGTATCGGTGGCAGCTGGAAGCGTTTGTGGATGTGGTTACGGGGAAGACGCCGGCGTATTGGGTGAGCGGGGAGGAGAGTATCTGGCAGATGCAGTCAATTGATTCCCTGTACAAGGCGGCCAATTTGCCTGTGCGGCCGTCCCTCGGAACCAAGCTGGGATGAGCGAGTTATCTAGCAGCATTATTCCATTTCTGTATATAGCAATTTGATAGTTTTGCACAGCAGATCCCGTTTCCAAGCGAGCAACGTTACAGAACTCATCAAGCGATTAAGCCAGGGCCAGAGCCATTGCCATAGCAGCGCCCCCAACAGCCCAATTGGCATTCCCAGTAATCTGAGGCATGGCAGCGTTTCCGCTGGAGCTGTGGGACGTCGAGGCCGAAGCCGAAGAGCCAGTGGCATGGGCGCCGCTCGTCGCAGACGGGCCCGACGTGGCCAGTGTAGTCTTTCCAGTCGCCGAAGCCGTCCCCGCTGTGACGGATGCTCCAGTAGTGGCATGGGCGCCGGCGGTGGCAGTACCGGTCACCACAACGGGCAGAAAGAAAGAGCCGATGTCGGTGGTCATGACGGTCGCAGATGTTTGGGTTGTGCTGTTGTCCACCTGCGATACGAGGCAGGAGAAGGAGGTGGTGCCGCCGAGTTTGCAGTCGAATCCGGCGTAGCTGTTGCGGATGTCAGTGGCGTGTCTCATTTGCCTTTCACCACAAGGGCAACGTACTAGCCGTTGTCAGAATAGCCCTCCTTCACAGTCGAGGGGCCCTGGACAATTGTGTAACCGCTTGAGGGCATAGGGCAGTCCTCCCCGGCAGAGGCGCAGTTGACGACGTAGGTGGTTGCAGAGTCGCTCTAGGTTCTCACGTCAGATAGATGAATCTTGCAAAATATTGCAGTGATGATTTTCGACAAACGTACACTGCCGACGACTTCCGCCACGAGACTCTGGCGATCAGCGTAGGGCAGGAACAGCGACACGGTACTCTCAGCAGCGACTGTCGCCGCGGTGGCTGTCAGAAGCGTGAGAGCGCGGATGGTGTTCGAACGCATCTTGTAAAATCTCATTGAAAGTGGTTATATGGAACAAAGTCTGGATTTGGATAGCTGGAGGGCGTCGGAAAGAGGACGACGAAAAAGGCAGCGTCAGAAATATAATGATTCAGGTATCTTTGGTTCGTACAGGAGTAAACGAGTGGCTGGCCGCCGCAAGGACAATTCAATGAATGTTTGAAGGATGAGAATAAAAAGATGACGGAGCAAAGGGACTCAAGAAAGTTCGTCCCCCCTGATAAACGACACCCATCTCACGAGTCAGCCATTAGTGGCTGGCAAGCGGCTAAGGCTGAAAGCCTAGTCGTTTCAGTGGCTCGCTAAGGTATCCGACAAATGAACCAGTTTCCCATGCTGACCAAGCTTTTAGCCAAAGTCTATTCCAAGCCCAGCCGCTCAGAGGCTGAGTCGAGTTCAGCACAAGGCAAGATTGGTGGATATTTCAGGGACACTGTCAGTGTGGACAGCCTCGGGCTTGCTCGGTCGATGCCTTAAATAGAATATGGAGTTTCAAAGTTAGCGTTTTGCAAATTCTGATTGGTTGGTTGTGCTTTAAGCCAGTGGCGGGAAACGCCGACACGGCAGCTAGGCCTTTCCAGGACTAGCTCACGAGTTGAAAATGCCGCTCAGTGATTGACTTGCCTTTTTGGATAAGGCGTCTGTGGGTGAAGAATACATCTAAAGGTACCTACCTCTATGGAAAGATTCCTCCACTATCTGGGCAATAATGAGAGCGTAGCTCTTAGTCGCTGTGTTTATGTTATGCGGAAGTCCATTACGTCACGTAATAAGCAGGCAATGATTGAGAAATACGGGTCATCAAATTATAACGATTCTCCGTCTTGCAACTCTCCCTCCAGATAAACGCACTGGGGACCCCTCAGGTAGTGTTGGCGATTGACCTGCCGCGGTTGACGACAAAACTGCAGATTCGGTCCCCAAAGCTGTTCGTATCTATCTACCATGGAAACATAAACCAGGAAGCACAGGTACCTATTCTCCCTCTGTCTGTCCGTTCTTTTTGGATCGCCAGTAGAGTCATACTCTGTCGGTTGACAATCGGACGAGAGCTATATCAGGCGGTTCATGTTGAAGATGACCTCTCCGATATTCGACGTCTACAACGCGATATATATATAATATATGTTAACCCCTAAGGGCATATTTTGCTCAGTTTTGTCAGAATATAACATAAGACGCCTGCTGGGACCTCGGCCTTGCTACCTCGACGTCACTGTGCCGCGATGAGGGTGGATGCTAGGAATTAGGGCTTAGTAGGACAACTTTGCGGTATACTGTACGAGCATTAATACTTGCACCGAGCAAAATTTACAAAGATGAGCATGCATAACGTTTATGTTTCGGAACAGCCTATCATGGTAGGCTACCAGATTTCCCGGTTCGGATGTCTATAGGGGTCCCACGGTTATACATAGGGCACAGTCGGTGTATTTATGACGTGAACTACGCAACAAAACATAAGAATAGAAAGCCCAGTTGTAGAAAGCAATCGCTCCTTCCTAAACCTATATGGCAAAGCATCAAGAGATTGACAACAAATCTCGACAGTTTGAAATTCTGATTGTGTCTGGTAAGTTGCGCTCTATTCATCCTATACACTGCTTCAATTTCATTACGTGTTTTACGAAGCCCCAGAACAATACTGACAATGGCATGTAAGAGCAGTCGCATGCCACCACCTCCTCGGCCATCAAGCAGCAAAAATAGCACTGTCGTGTCTGGCTCCTTTCCAGACCACGTCAAGACAAAAATAAGGAGAGTGGGTGACGAAGTTGGTCTTGCGGATCAATAAAGATACAGATTGCCCATGTACTTGGAGCAGTATGGTTTCCATTTAGTAACATGACAAGCGCCTTATCACTAATAGCGAGACTAGACAGAGATTTTAGAAGAACGAGGCCTAATTAACTTTGACCCACTTTCAATGATGAATGCTGTCGGGCTATGCTATGTTACAATCTCGTATCTCGCAGAACATTCACCACCCCACTGAGTTGGTCTCATCATCTTCCTGAGCCGGCTCCTCCACCCTAGACACTCACCTCTCGGACACAACTACCCCTCCTTCTCTCTCTCTCATCTCTCCCTCACTTTCCACCTTCTACAACTTCCTCACTCTCTACCCACCCTTTATATCACATCATCTTCGTTACCAATTTGCATCAATTAGACGACTTAACATCCTTGTGCACTTCCCTCCCCTTCAGGACCATGGCAACCTCAGAGGAGGCCCGCAATACCTCAGATGAGAGTATGACGGGTGTTTCCAGTCAGTCTCAGAGCCAAGATTCAGTCATATCAAACCTGTCACAACTTCTCAAGACTCCTGAGATATTTGATATCAACATCCTCTCAGATATCGACCGGGAGATCGATCGACTCAGGAACCTAGCAGCAGAAAGAAGGTCTGATATCTTTGATACCACTTTTACCGGCCGTGAATAGACACCCACGTACAACCATGTCGATGCAGAATCAACCAATCTTCTCCGGAAAGCCAGTGGAAGATGTCGATCTCTATATCGACCAGTGCCGGTTTATGCGGGCAGGGATGCAGATGACACCGGAAGAAAAGAAACAAGCCATTGCCACAACTTTATTTGTCGGGTTGCGGGATGGCGCCTTGAGGTTTGGACGCACTCTCCCGAAGACACATTATGATGATGCGTTGGACCCGATGTTTTTCTTTCTTCGTACCCAGTGATCTGGATTTCTTTATCCGTTTTCAACTAAGGGGCAGGATTCGCCGCCAAGGCGATATTACCAAGAGAAGGGTGCAGATGGCACATGAATATGCACTGTATCAGTATAGACAGGGGAAAATCACGGATGTCGCCCAGGGAGGGCAATATACTCGGGTCTATCTGTGCGACAGCCCATGGGCACAAAACACCCAAGCACCTAAGCAGTGGCATGGTGCCCCACTCCCAACCATTCGAAAAGCCATTGGGGCACTTGGAAGCCCTAGGATAGGGCGTATTCCTCAGGACATGGTGATGAAGCTTACCATCCTTCGAGACTTGTACTACTTGGATGACGACGAGACTGAAAGAAGACATCAATTGGAACGTCCGAGTAAGGAGGACAATTATCAGGACTCTGACGAGGAGGAGGACGACAACAGGTACGAAGAGGAAGAGGAAGAGGAAGAGGAAGGGGATGAGGATGAGGATGAGGATGACGAGACTGAAGCGGAAAGTAAGGGTGTTTTTAAGACGTCCTAGCTGGACAAAGCAGGAGGCTCGCTACCCAAAACGGCAAAGACGCGATTCGCAAGTTTGGACCGGTCCTTTTGGGCCCTGGCGGGAGACTCAGATGAACTCCCATTAGAGTCACATACACAAAGTATGATTAATTACCCTAGTCACTCCATAGCTTTATCAATACACTAAAATTGCTTTGAGACGCGGATTTAACTTGAAACCTTCCCATTAATCCACAGGACTGGGTGCGTATAACTACCAAGCGGCCTATACCAATGTAATCTTTGCCTGGAAGTCGACGAAGCACCTGATAAGCCCACCAGTACTCATCACGGTCATAAGGATGGGAGAGAAGATCATACGATTTCGGCGCCGGCCGCGCCTAGTTCATTGCGTCACGTAATAAGCAGGCAATGATAGAGAAATACGGGTCATCAAATCGTAACGATTCTCCGTCTTGCAACTCTCCCTCGAGATAAACGCACTGGCGACCCATCAGGTAGTATTAGTCACTTTCAACAGAGTCATAAATCACGAGCTATCAGTCGCTCCTCTGAATAGGTATAAAAGTAGAGATTTTTCATAAGTACATTCCTACTTCTTCTGTCTCTCAGCTTGTTCTTGTTCTGCAAGTAAATGCTCCCTAACCACCACTGGATCCTTATACTTTGTATTCTTAACTTTCCCCCAACATCCCACACAGTCCAAGATGAACGCAACAAACGCCATCGCCCTATATCCAGTCTCTCTTGTTAGTACAGCTACATCCACAGACCGCCCTGATCCCCCAGCCGGTTACCTAGGTAGATAGTAAATGGATGGATGGGGAACGCACGGTAACGGCATCGTCAACCTAAACGCCAAATCCTGCAACCCCTCCCACGGCCTCGGTGTATCCATCGGTGCATTACTAAGATCCCAATCACTGAACATGTTCTCGAAAAGACCGTATATCCCCGCGACGATGGCGCCTAGATCTGCGATCCCTAATAGTCCTGGTCCGACTCGCTTGATTGTGTTGGTTGGATCGGCTAGGGGGATCAGTTCGAGGATGCTGGTTGTTATTAAAATAACTGACTGATAGACCGGTAATATTGGATGTTGATTCAGTTTAGATTCGTATCTAGATAACAATCATGGGATGGAGATAGATGGCCAAGGTGGGAGAGAGGGAAGGGTTTACAGACCGCAGATATACTTGAAGGAAATGCTTTGCTTCGATGGTAGCGCCCTGTGTTGCTGTATTTTGTTGCCAATTCACAGAGGATAACCAGGTCAGCTAGGGATACAGCTAAGGTTGCGAGACGAAAGATGGTTTGGATTATGCCGAAGGGACGTGGAATTCGGGATCGAGATCTGGTCGACATATTGACAGGTTTACAGTATTTTGTTAGAATGTGGAGGTGAGGACTAGATGCAATATTACATAGAGGAGAGTAGCAGAATGATTATATCATAAATGGGTTTTGAAACCAAGAAGGTGAGAGCATTCAAGGGGCTCCATGTCCCTCGCTGTCTGTTACAGACTTCAATAGTTATTACTATCGCTCTTTAGGACAAGTCAAGCCAGGCGCTCAGATGGAGGCGGGAACATGTCCGATTATATTAGGGTTACATTGACTACAGTACATGGCTATGGCACTACAGTACCTATCAACGACTAGTAAGGTGATAAATAGTATGCTACAGATAGGTAGCGAATAGGGAAGTACAAAGAGCCTCGATCCCTTCTGAACTGATCGGTGGCCTCGGTATTTGACTCGGATAATTTCACCCTCTCTTATTGGAATTCTGTTGGTCTGAGAAATTAAGTGTGGTCGCTGCGTAATCACGAGATGGGTGTCATCTTTGGTTCTGATTTTCTGTCAGGACGTCCGTCTGATGGCTAGTCTTATGGTTATGGATTCGGTGCTTTGCTTCATGTACGGACTCTTCTTGATTCATCCAAGTTCTCGCTCTATACTGCAATTATCATCAATTCAATTCAAAGCTAATTTACCCTGGTGCAGTCTAGTTTAGAACGTAATGGCTATGCAGACATTCTCTCTGTGGAAAACCAGAGCCGTCCGAAACGCTATGCATAAGATGTAATATAACAAAAGAGAATGGCCAAGGCCATAAATAACATAATAAATTCTGCAATACTGTCATAAAACATCCATCCTGCTACTACCAGCTCACAGTAATCTATATAGCCAAATTCTATCCTATAGGACAAGGCACAGTGAGGCTCAATGGAGGGCGGTAAAAACTCTAGCCAATACTAGTGAGATTGCGGATGTTGTTTCATCTTTCTGATCGAATTTACCGAAGACACTAGTTAATGTAGGTGCTGATTGTACGAGCTAAGCCTCAGCACGGCGGGCAGACTTTTTCGAATAGGTCATTGCGCCAGTGGTGATCCCTGCAAGAAGCAGTACAGCATTGAAGCCGGCCATTATATAGAACGGACTTCCTGGAGACAGATCATCGAACAGTAGACCTCCAATCTTGGTTAGAAACAATATCCCTGCCCCTCCATACAGGGAATAAACACCAGCAATTGATCCCTTCAGGTGGGACAGCTGGTGACCTCTGTGACGCGTAGATCTCTGTAGCAAGGGCTGATGCTCGTCGACGTCTTGGTTTCCCTGGTTAGTCGCAGTACTAACGGGGCCCTCTTCTGAGTGCAATGTCTCTGAGCCGTCAGAAGCAAGACTGATACTGAGGATACCATTGCTCAACACCGCCAGGCTGCAGACAATGGCCCCGATTTGGCTGATACCGATCAAGCCCATTAGAACGAAGATACCCGCACTGCCGTCCGATCCGCTAAACTGAGGACTAGGCAACAGCGCAAACACAGTATAGCCAAGAATACCAGCCAAAGATGCGAACAGAAGCGGTGAATGGTACCGTCGCGATCGTTCTGAAAGGTACCCAAACGCTGGTGCCGCGATCAGAGCAACTAGCTGAGAGACGCCGGTCAGGATGGAAGCCAAGACGTAGGCTTTCCGGCATGTTTGTTTGATATCTCCCGGCATCGATTCTGGCACCTCGCCCCGCTCATGACCACACAGGCCAGATCGCCGATAGTAGTGGTTGACAAAAAGGGGAATAAACAATGAAATGCCAACAGATGAGGCGCGTGCAACAAAACCTCCCAGATAACCGAGGAATATATCCCGGTTTTGTAGCCCTAAGTAAAGTGCTGTACCAAGTTGATCGAAGTAGGGGAACTGTATCACTTCTTTGCTCAAGTCTACCCGGTCGGTCTCGGACACAGATGACTTGGGCGCGGCCCACAGTAAGTGCCACCCCTTTCCTTCTTCGCTTGCAAGACCCCTGAGACCTAGCAGGCAGCAGACGCTGACCAGAAGCGCCACCGAAGCAACCAAGTAGTAACTGTACTGGATGGCTTCCGAGGGAGAGTAGCCCCAGCTCTGAAAACGAGCGGGTAGAGGAAGAAAAATGGCCAGAGCTATTAGGGCGCCGCCGCCAGCGCACATGCCCACAAATCCGGCCAGCCTAGAGGAAGGAGACTTCGCCTCAGCCTGGGATTCTTCCCTGAGACGCAGTTGCTCGCTTGAAGTCTCTCCGGCCACGGCAGGTAATACCGCGGTCACCATGGTCGAGACTGCAGAGCCTCCAAGGCTGAAGAATAACCTTCCTAGTAGCAGCTGAGGGTAGACATTTCTTGCTTGCACAAACACAACCAGCGAAAGGGCTATGATGCCGTAGCCGATGACGCAAACCTTTGTTGGGAGCATGTCAGTGATAATAAAACTACATTGATAGATAGGATTTTCGGAACGTACATTGCGGACGCCTATACGATCAGAAAGCACTCCCCATAAAGGGCACGCGGCCAGCGCGAGCAGTTCATCAGCGAATCCTAAGGTGCCAACAGCGTCTCCCTCACCATCGTGTAGTCCAATCAATTCAGTGACAACGAACGAGACAGATGAATTGACGAAGACCAAAAAGGCTATCGAGAAAGGACAGATGGCAAGCAGATAAGTGAGTGTCTGGGTGCGGGTAGCTGTAAATAGAGCCGGTTGTGGCGCCATCACATCACTCAAACTAGTCGGGCCGATGTGTTTGGTAAGTGTGCGGAGACCTTTCGACTCCTCTTTATATCTGGCTCTGCTCTAGAGAGGTTCTGCAACAGAACCCAAGCGATATGATGAGAATGATTCCATAGGGATTGAGCTGAGAGGATGATTACGGCTGATGCATAGCCATCACCCGGAGACATCCACGTCACATGATCCGAATTTCCATTCCCAGATCGACGACTCGCATTGGACATTCGATCTGAAAGTCCAGAAACTTAAGGCAAATCAGTTTTTGACGAGAAGAGAACATACTACGGAAGCTTTGAAGTGGAACAACAATTCCATCAGCTTCTGCCTGTTTGTTTATATTCCGCAGTATTTCAGTAAAGGGGGCTCGCATTGCAATCGATAGCCATATAAAGCAAATTAGAATCCACAAAAAGCCGCCAATATCCAAGTCTAATCCGCCGTCTACATTTTGACAGTCCTCTTAATTACAAAAACAAAGGATACACTCGAGTCTTGACTCCTGGGTTATAGTTAACTTAACTAGCTGATAAGCTGATGATCCGCTGACGTAAGGCACGGATTCTCGGGCGGTGGGCCGAATTGTTCCCCACGAGTTGTACCTTAGTCTACAGGTATAGCTGTCCAAAACCTCCGTACACGCGATCCATCTCCGGCCACATTTCTAATCTCTCACTCGCTAGGGACGCTGTGTATCAACAGACTTTCTAATGCCTTATTGACCTTGACTTAGGCTGCATCCCATTTTGTGTCTATATCAATGACATACGGCTCCCAACTCGCCTCCTTTAGTTTGTGGCCATGAGACTAGCCGCTTATGCTGGGGTAAGTGCTCGCAAGAGGCGGAGGAGGCTTGGACTCGACAACAGGCTGACCAACATTTTCTACAGGCCTCTGCGGCTCTGGCTACGGCCGTTGTTCTGAAGGCGCTTCACCAGAGGGCTAATTTTTACGCTG